TGGACAAATACAACAAATCATATGTTTTCTTGTTTTTTTTCCCAAGAAGGTGGCCGAAGGGCAAAGGTTTCTTGCACTTAGATAGCTCTGTGATTATACTGCCTGGAAAGCTAGAAATGAAGTTCACCCACTGCTGGTAAATTGGATATCTTGAAAAGTTCAGAACAAATGACTCAGAAGGATGAGAAGCCTCTCTGAGATGGGCACTGTTCCAGGCAGGTACTTTGGCATGCTTGTCTAGAGAGCATTGCTTTTGTCTTGAAGGGAACCACATTTTTCAGGTTCACTCTAATCTGAACATATCAAGCAAATCAGGCACATTTTGAAAATGTTTATTTCAGTGGCTCTTAAACTTCTGGGGAAGTCTGCAACACAGAAAGCTTATATTATAATGAATGATGGATGGAAAAGATGCCATTGATTTGGTGGCAGCGGCTTTTGAAAGAGCTTTCATTATAATATAGATTTACAGGTAAACATCATCTTCAAAGAAGTGTTCTTCCTTCAATTTGTCACACAAGGAATGCTCTGCCTGTGATACATACAAGCAACTTCTTAGTTTTAGAGTACTGAGCATTCCTTGTAGGTTTTTCCATGTGGCTTCACAAGTGGAGAGGGAGATGTGCAGCAGTATTTGGGAAAACCACTTTATTGGATTGCATCTCTCAGCATCCCCCAGGCAGCCTGGTCAAGCTTTCACAACTGTATTCCATTTCTTGCACTCCATTCCTGCCTTAAAATCTCCCTATTTTCACATACCAAGCTAAGTGCAGGGAATGTTTGTGTGCTATGTCTGTGACTCCTGATTCACCATATTGAATGGTGGTGCCAGGTATTCTAAGAAGATGCTTTCCATAATGTGTGCAAAGCAATACTGCTTACTTTGGCGCTATTGCTCTTGGATTTATGCAAATGTCACCAGTTATTTAAAGCTCATATGATTAATTGACTGAGGCAGTGGCACACAACATTTCTGAGAAAACAGCTTGCTCACCGTTATTGATCTTTTTTCTACCATGCTCTGTGACAGAAACATTGGTTGTGTTCTAGATGAGTAGTTCCCAGCTAAGACTTGGAAACAAGTAGTCTAGGTGGGATGCACAATTACTAAGGATTCATTCTTCCCCAATGATGTTGTCTCTTGTAAGGATAGCGTCCTGTCTCCTTTTGATCTTACCAGCTACATATTATCTGTTTGACCTGGCATGCTAGTAATAACTCTGGACTTCAGTGGTTTTTCTAATCCCCTGTTTTGTCTACTCGCTAGCTTACTGTAAATCAGGTGGGAAAGTAGTGAGTCCTGGAATCAATGTTCAGCCCAAGGACTCCAGGAGCCAAATGGACTGTCAAAAACCCCCAGCAACAACCCAACTCCAAAACACATCAACAATCACTAAAGATATAGCCATGTTAGTCTGTAGAATCAGTATGCAGAGAGATCTTGTAGCACCTTTGAGACTAATGGAAAGAAATAAGTTGGCAGCATGAGCTTTTGTAGACAAATCTTCCTCAAATGCATCTGAGGAAGTAGACTTAAGTCTACCAAAGCTCATGCTGCTATCTTTCTTTCTTTCCTTTAGTCTCAAAAGGTACTACAAGATCTCTCTACATGCAATCACTAAATCAGAAATTGCAGGAAGTCCATTTCTGGTTTTGAGAAACAGGGTTTTTTAAAATGTGAAACAGTACATAAAGTGAGTCACTAACCCATCTTAATGATTGAAATGCTGCTCCTGGAAACTTTCAGGAGAGGCACTTCACTTGTTTTGGGGACAGAGAGAGCGAGCAATCCAGGGAGTCTGAAGGGATCAAGGTTTGTAAAAACAGCATTGGGAACAATGCAGCTGCTGCATCTTGTCCACCATTGCTTTAAATGACAACTATAGTACTAAAATTCCAGCAGAAATATAAATATCCTCCAAATAGTTTTGGGGATTTTCTGTGTTCAAGTTGGGATGTAGTTTGTTACGTTTGTGGGATGTAAAATATGAGTGTCAGCCAGTGTACTAGAAGATATACCTGGTTTTCTTATAGGTTGTTGTTGTTAACCACCCTTGAGTTGATCTCCATCCATGGTGATCCTGTAGATGAGACATCTCCAAGATTCTCTGTCCTCCACTGCTCTTCTTAATTCCTGCAAACTCATACCCATGACCTCCTTGATAGAGTCCATCCATCTAGCATGTGGCCTTCTTCTCTTTCTACTACCCTTCACCTTTCCTAGCATTATTATCTTTTCCAATGAGTGCTCCCTTCTCATGATGTATCCGAAGTATGACTGCCTTAGTTTTGTCATCTTAGCTTCCAGGGAGATATCTGGCCTCATTTGATCTAGGACCCATTTGTTTGTCATTTTGGCTGTCCATGGTATCCTCAACACTCTTCTCCAGAATCACATCTCAAATGCACTGATTTCCTTCCTATCATCTTTCTTAACTGTCCAGCTCTTACATCCTTACATGATAATAGGGAAAACAATGGCTTGTACAATTCTAACTTTTGTGCTGAGTTGTATATCTTTG